TATTTAAAGAAAAATGATATGGGTACTCTCAAAATTGGTGCCCTCGGATACACCCTTTTGGTTCAATTGCAGATAAATGATTTAATTTTGTTTGGTGGATGTTATTTGAGTTATACTCTATAAACTAAATTTGGGAGATTCTAAACATAATCTATAAACAAAATCAGAGCGAAATCCCTTCACATTTGGGAATAGAAAATTGCTCAAAGAGGCATTGATCTTTGCCAGCAACTGTCGATCCGTACTCACAACTATCGATCTCTGCTCGCAGTTGTTGATCTACGCCAACGACTATTGATCCATGCCAGCGATTGCCGATCTCTGCCGGTAGCTATCAATCCACGCCAATGATTGCCAATCTTTGCCAGCGGCTGCGGATCCAAGCTAATAACTGTCGATCTCTGCCCAAGACTGTCGATCCACACCAATGATTGTTGATCTCTGCTACAGCTGTCAATCCTCGCCAGCGACTACTGATCTTTGCCAACGATGGCCAATCTGTATGCCAACAGCACCAATTTCATATCAGTCGGAAAGATCTCAGCCGAACAAAACAAAATTTGAGATTTTTCTACAATTCTACGTAGATGAGTATATTTGGAAATATAAACAAAGGAATATAGTCTAAATGGCAAAGATAAGTACTTCTCCATTTTATTCCAAATTGCTAAATTAATTAATTTTCAATATAATGTGTCTATACGTTGAATCGAAAAAGTACAAATCTTATTGTCCTTATTTAAAATGTTACAAGCACGTCTCATTGCCTTTATTTAAAATATTACAGATGAATTTTTTTTTCTTTAAAATTTAGTACTAAAATATGTAATTATTTGTAAGAAAGTACTGTTAATAATAATTTTGAAAATGGAAAAGAGAGTGAATATGAAATTGATGGGAATATCATTTTATTCACATTGATAGAACACGTGGCATCATTAGTAAAATACCATAGAAATTTTATAGGGGCTGCAAAAAAATGCAACAAAAAAACATAAATTATTACATTTGCCGGCGTTATAAACGACATTAGGGAAGTGAGGAAATGGTGTTAGGAGAGGGAGGTAAATGTAATGCAAAATTAGGGTTCAAGCTAACTCTCATCACTCTATTTTGTGAAAAAGTGGAATCTAATCCTTCTAGTATAGTATAGAATCGCTTCATGTCCTCCCTCTACTATTGAAAATCTCGACGTGTCCTCCCTTCGCCATTGAAAATGTGTTCCGTGTCCTTCCGTCCATAAAGTCTCTAATACCATTTAATTTTGACCAGTAAGTGGCAACAATCACACGTTTAACTCAATTAATTTTAATATTTTTCTTCAAATATTCTGCTTACATGGGGCCCATTATTGCCACTCCCCCACCTATATACATAAGCTATTTTCTTGAATTTCATATATTTTATTAAATTTATTAAAAATTTTGTCTAATTTATACTTTAAGAATACAATAAATATATTTTTGTATAATTTCATCTAAGAACTTGTAAAAGTAACATTTGTTTTAATACTACTTATACGTGAATAATTTTAATTAATTAATTAACTAAATTAATGTTCATATTTACATTTTTTATACATATTAATTTATTACACCCTTAAAAAAAACCTTTTATTAAATTATTCATGTAGTGGAATTGCTCATGGAATTTTTTTTAAAGAAAGGCGGAATATTTTAAACCCAATAAAAATGTATTTAATCATACCTCTAATAAATCTACTATGTACGGTTTATATTTTTTTAGTACATTGAGTTGCTTCCCTTGACATAATATACCTTATTTCAATAATATGGATTGATATATACTTTAATTCAAGGACAGCAACTCAACGTATTAAAAGAACATAAACCTTACATGATAAACTTATTAAAGGTATAGCGAAGTCTCATTGGATTTAACAAACTCTATCATTCCATAAAAGAAAAAATTCTACCAGCAATTCCATTACATGAATAATTTAATAAAAGGTTTTAATTTTTACTTTTAGAATATAGGCTAAAGGGGTTATAAAGTTAACATTTATAGAAATTTAAATGTTGACATTAATTTATGTAATTAATCAATTAAAATCGCTCACACGTAAGTAATATTAAACTAAATGTTAGTGTTTACACCTAATTTTACAACAAATAGAGTGCTGCCACGTGTCACCTATGATGGCAGATATTTTATTAGTTGAAAGTTGGTGTGGATTTCCTTCGAATGAGATTGAGTGGTTATTTCCACAAAGGCAGCAAAACCGTTCTCTTGTTGCGAGCTTCCAGGAGGATAATCGCAGCACCAACAAATTAATCAATTTGTTGTAGATATTATGCTGCCGTTGGTATTTCAGGATGCTACCGCAGATCTCCACCATGCTGCCAAGGTGCTATAAATACCTAATGATAAGATCAAGTAAAAGGTCGACATCTCACATAACAAACTCAGCACAATTTCTCTTTATGCTCAGATTCATCTTAGTTTCAAGCCCTTCAATTTAATTTTAGCTCTACGCTTCAACTTAAATTAGTTTAGCAATTCGGTTCTTCTTTTGTCGAATTTGTAATGGTGAGTTTCGCTGCCTTCAGTAATATTTCTTTGTAATCAGATTGCTTCCTTTCCTTTATATTTGTTTTCCAAATTTCCTTTAATTTAATCAAATGATGTCGACATTTAATTTCATGTTCAGTTCCATTTCTGTTAATTTACATTTCATGCTGCCAATAGATTTTTCATGCTGCCAATAGATTTTTCATGCTTCGGGTTTTATTTACTTTAACTTAATTTACTTTTGCTGCAATTAAATTTCTTTTTAAAGCTATGTTTCAATTCAGTTTGTGTATTTAAAGTTCATTTAGATTTTCAGTAGTTTAGCGATCATTTATTTACCTTGCAGTCTTAACTTTTCTTGATTACATTAGCTTTGAGGAGTCCTTGGAATCATATCCAGGGCATTTTGTCTATAACCCATTTAGTGCAGGAAGTTCATCCCTCGTTTCTGCCAATCGTCTGATCTTTAAGGTGCAATTCACGACGTTCTTCTATCAACTCACAAGCTGAGTTCCACGCTTGGAAAGAAAAGAGGGTCGTCGAAAAAATCTTTCTTGTTTTGAGCAAAGCAAGTGGCATGCCATTTCATCTACCACGTGTCAAGGAGATTTTTTTGAGATAACAATCTCTTTTTGGCACGCCCAGTGGGACCTCCTACTGGCAATTGTCTATCAAGAAAAGTTTTTTGATCCTCTTTTGCTTTTCCTGGGCATAAAGCAGCCATAGCCATGCCTAGGAGGGTTGGAAAAGAAGTTGCACAACAAGTGGAAGTGGCTCCTGTGAGTCCAAGACATTCTGAAGGTGAAAATAGTCCAAAGCATCTTCCACCTATTTCTCCCTTGGCTAATCGCTCATATGGCAATCCCATATATCGCAATGATGATGAGGAGAAAGTTGATTCTGCTGAGTCAAGCAATAAAATATCTCAAGAACTTCAGCAGATAAGAAAGCTACAAGAAGAAGCCAATCAGAACATGGAGCGTAGTCTACAAAGCTTTCTACAAGCCCAACGAAAACATTCAGATCATTTCACTCAATGTTTGAATGTTATTGAAAGGGCCATTCATGACATCTCGAGCTATTCGAGAAGAAGTAACAGAAAGTCATAGAACCTTCACTGTAGTTTCTAAGAAAAGCATGGAACATGTTCGACAGCAACAAAATGTTCCAAGGCAACCCGTACCTCCAGCAATGGAATTACCACAGCAAAATCTTCCAGATCCTTTGCTTGGGGGGCATATAAATTAGCCACAGGTGGTGCAACAGATGCCCAATACTCAAAATAATGCTCTTGGTGCAGTCCAGGTGCAGTTCAATAGGCAGCAACAAAACAATCTTGCTGGTGGCATCCTTGGACCACAAGATCCTGTGGAAGCAGCATTCCGTGCAGCTGAGCAACTCAACGCCAATCAACAAAGATATGTACCTCCTGCATGTCGTCCAAATGCAGCCCCACAGCCCAACTTCCAGAATAAGGCCTTTCAACCATTAGGGCTGCAAGCAGCACCCCCTCCCTTTGATAGAAATCAACTTATTGATCTAGTCAAGGAGACATATGGTCCAGCTTTAAGACCATTGGTTCGTCCTTCCTATCATAAGCTGTATCCAGATTACATAGATCGGGATAATCCATTTCCTCGTGGATTTAAAGTGCCTGAATTTACTTTGTTTTCTGGGGACGCAAGCCAGTCAACCATTGAACACATTGGTAGGTTCACTATTCAATGTGGGGAGGCATCGAGTGATGATTTTTTGAAGTTGAAACTCTTCCCAAGTTCTTTAACGGGTACTGCGCTGACACGGTACCTAAGTCTGCCGCAAAATTCTGTGTTCACCTGGAGACAAATGGAAGATTTGTTTTATATTCAATTCTATCGCTCAGAGCCTGAGATATCCATGGCTGATCTTTCTAGATTGACTTAACGGTCAGGGGAATCTTCAGAAAATTATCTTATGCGGTTTAGAAAAAGCTCGGATAAAGTGTCATGTTGCCTTACCAGAGCAAGAGTTTGTGAAGCTTGCTCAGAATGGTTTAGACATTGAACTTGGAAAGAAGTTTGAGGGGATGGAATTCAGAGATTTCTTTGAGCTCTCTTATAAGGTGGCACGTTATGAGAACCTTTTAAGAGAGGAATCCCAAAGAAAGGCAGCGTCGCAAGGAACTTATTATCAGGATGCTTTTGACCTTGATGTTGCCGAGGTCTTTACAGACAAGCCAGTAACTTGTCCTAATCTAGTGAAAGTCACTCA